CTTTGCCTTTGTCTGTTCCACATCCATCATATACCACAAGTCGCTACGTGACTACCTACAAGGACTCTAAACTGAGCTAAAAAGCACAATGGAACATGTTGTTCCCTAAGCAGATCGGTGAGCCCCATCCTTTCATCCTGTTCCCAGTCGCAATCGACCAGAAACAAGCCCCTGGCGCCATTTTAGAGTGTTGCACTCAATGACCAAAGGTCGCGGGTTCGAGTCTCGGTGATCGCCACCCCTGGAATTGGGTGTGACTAGCTGATGGTTACTGCTAAAGCAGAGATTACATTTCGGTTCCACATTATCAAAATTACTTAATAGTGAACAGGCACACATCGATCAGTAGTGGGACTCGCTCATTCCTTCGTGTCTTGGAACTCACCATCAATAATGATATAGGTAGACTGAAATTACCAGCAAAGAGAAGAGGGAGTTGGATAGCTGTTTCTAGCTTATTATCCGTTATTAGTCAGCCATACCGTACGTCAGGTGCTGCGGCAGCCGGTTGTTTATGTTGCAAGTAGACGGGCTGTTCCGTTTTGTCAGCCACTACACTGTTTCCCACCTCCGGTCGTGCTCACTTTCCCTTACCATCGTAACATGGTGGGTGCGAGAAGAGACGGCCACAGATGCTGTCTAAGTCAAGTTGATCATAAACCAATTCACACAACGGAAGACCTCGTTCACGACCGTCGTACTGGCATGTTTCCAAGCCGCCTATATAACTTCATTCGAATAAAACGTTCTGCAGTAGACTAAAATCCAAATTCCTTATGAAAGGGGTTTGATTGATTTCCTTTAGATCTGTTTCGGCATCTGTCAGGGCCGTGTTGTTTCATTTATTCTCTTCTATTACGTGACATAATAGATACCCCAAAATGCACTGCAGACCACTGATATATTTTAGGTTTTAGGATCGCGGTACCACATGCACCCTCTATGATTACCTGCAGAAACGACTCGGCCATATGTTTTGCCAGCGTGTGGGCGAAGTCGTCTGGAATGTCATATTTACAGAGCCAGATTACTTGACGATTGTATCGCATAGGCAACTGAGGCCTGCGTGGGTGTTGTGGAAGCTGATCTCGATCGTGCGGTCTGTTGAGACTGGCGTGCCCACTGGTTAAACTTCGTGTAAGAGTCCGCCTCTGACTGATTTGATTGAGGGATGTCATTCATGGTGAGATTAAACTGCAATTGGAAACCAACTAAGTTGCTCATCATGACTTCCGTAAAAAGTATCAGTATCTGAAAATAGAGCGTGATCTTGTGAGGAGCAAGAAAGTAGTGCGTTTCTCTCTGACTCTCAAAAATGCCCTAGGTTGCCATTTTGCTGTCTGTGAGGGCTTTCTCCAGTCGACCTTTTATCCCTGAATGCTTCGTTTATTAATCCATTCCTTAACTCCTTCTCCGCCCAGATATATATAAAACACCTTGATATTGCTTTTTGAAGTTAAGGGTTCGGCCGGAGATAGCTGCACGAATGCGGTCACATCCGGATCCCAATCAGTAGATGTAGCGCAGTTCAACAGC